AGCTATTCAGTGTGACCAGCTTTTGGGAATGATCACAGGAATGGTGAAACTGATAAAATAGGGGAATTAATGTATAGGTCTGGTTGAAGAAATTTAGAGGCTATACAGCATAGTGCAACACATCTGGTGTTTTAAAATTCAAAGTGTTAGAGTATTGTGCTCTCTGTTGAAATTTTAGTCAAAAATTAAAAGAAATACAAACCTGCTGATGGCAGTGTCATGCTGAAAATGCATTCAAACCCTACACATATCAGCAGGGTGACTCGAGGTGACTGTAAATGTCTGGATGTGCCTTGAGTTTGGTCCTTCAGATAATGGAAGCTGGCATGTCCCCTCCTTGGAACCCAAAGTCTGCAAGTGTTTTTTACAGTTTGGGCTTTAGGAGCTTTTCTTGTGAGCCAGGTGAAAACTGTCCTTCTGCAGAAGAAGGTATTAGTAAATATAATTGTTTTTCAGCCCAGAATACAGATGCTTTGCTGCACAAAGGGCTACTAAAAGCAGCCTGTTGTAGACTATTAAAAAAATGCATGTAGAAATTGATAAACTCAGCCCCAAAAATTCACCAACTGAACAAGCAAATAATTGCAAAAGCCATTTGGATAAGGGGTTGTCAAACCCTAAGCAGAAAGATAAGAATGATGGGAATTTGGAAGGTGGGGCTATCACTACAATATGTGAGCACTACACATCAGCTGCAATCAAAAAAAGAAGCAGGGCTACTCCTTGCTTAAAAACTCTATTGACAAGCAAGATGTAGGTCATTAGACATTGAATCTGATCAGTTACCACATTATAGTGTCCCATTTAACTTCAGAGAACTGGAACTATTTTGCTGGTTCTCTTTAGCCAGTATCTGTTCATTGAATTGTCATCCTTGTAAATGAGTGTGTAGCACAGCTATTAAGCCTGTTATCTTTTCCATGGAAATCACCTGGAGGTTTTTTATAAAGCCCCTATCTCTTTCTTCAGCTCAGTCAGTGGTGAAAACCTTTCTTGTGTTACAAACCACTGCCAAACTAAAGATGACTTGTGCTGAGCCAGCTGAGCTGAGTGGGGATGAGGTTAAACATGGACCACCATGGCAATATAGAGAGATATGCACAGTTTCATCCAAATTCACTTGGGCTGGATGCTGTGATATCAGAGCAGAAAGCGCCTGAAAAGTTCCACACAGATCTTGGTGTTGAATTTTTTTAGATTAGTCAACTGCCAAACTGTCAAGCTCAAAGCAAGCAAGCAGCCCTGTAGCTGGAGACTGTCAGTTCCCTCTGTGACTGAGGGCCCCGTAAGCTGGGTCAGCTGAACCTGGGATATGAGATATGGGACCTCAGTTGATGTGTTTTTCCTGTGTCATACAAAGGAAATTTTTCTCATTAACTCATTCTGTCATTCAGTTATGGATACTGTTTTTTATGAGGTTTTTTCTTGCTGCTCTTCATTTTATGACATTAATTTGGCACTATCAGCAGCTCAATCATATTAATGTCAACCAATTAGAGATAATGTGTGTGGGCACTGTTGGCACTGCTGCATTAGCTAACTGTAATTTCATTCTGTGGTCAGGTATTGTAGTGGTTTTCTTGTTAGTCTTTGAAATGTTCATAATAATCTGTTCATAATAATGAATAAAGTGACATGAAAATGTGGTAGCTTAAATCATTCTTATAAGATACAAAATAATTGCATTTTAATTCCTTTTATTTCCATGTTTTTTCCCCCCTCATTCTAGCTGTTCCTTGCATCAAGAATGGCTGCAGCTCTGGACAAATAACATTAGGTCATGGGAGCAGTTTTTACACAGTTAAACGATATGGTTTGTGTTCTGTGTCCTGCTTGTTGGGAGTGCAGGTTCTTGGGTCTTCTGCTCCTCAGTGTGGCCTCTGACCATGACTTTGTCATGTCAAAGTCTGTATCTCAGTTGCTTTGGCTCCTGACTTGTCCTTGCTGTACTTCCAAAGTCCTAAGGCTGTGATCTTATAAAGTCAGGGTTCAACAGATGCCTCCTTCAGACCCTGTACTTGGTCCTTCCTCATCGTGGCTGGAAAACTCTTTTGGAAAGTCCAATGATTTTTCCCAAGCCATCTCATGTCCAAGGCCTGGCCTGATTATTATCCTGTTCTATTTTTCCAAGTGGTTCTTGGATTTTCCTTTGCATTAACCTGTTTGCATTAGGCTGGGAAGGGGCTTTCACAAAGCATGGCTGGGAGCTGTGATTTGGTGATAAAATCAGGCTGCCCAGTGAGTCTCAGGTGGGTGGTCACAGGAACAGAGGCATGGTGCTGGCACGGGCAGCCTGAGGTGAAAATTCTGTGGAGGAGGTAGGACTTAATGCTTGTCAGAGCTCTTAACAGGTAAATGTAGTAATCTAAAGTAGTTCTCTGTCTCTCTTCACAAATGAGAGACTTTTTGTCTGTTGATCCTAAAAAGTAACTGTTCCCAGATCCAAAATAGAAGCATAGTTAGTGTTCTCAAAACCCCTTTTTTCCCCTCTGGAGTAGGCACATTTTTCTTGTACTATCTTCCTTTCTCATTAACTTTTTTAAGTACTTCCTTCTCTTTAATTAATCTTTTTTTTGGTCATAAAAAGGGACAACTACATCCATATAATATGCAACTTGCACTTCAAAAGATATTTTTATTATGTCATCTCTGAAAGAATTCACTTATTCACAACAAGTCTGTGTGTTTTCATGGCAACCTGGCAATTCTTACTTTTTTGTATTTATTAAGCATAACAAAAGATTTGGTTCTTTTGCATTCATTATTTAAAAGATTACTCACACTCATTTTGAGAACTAAAAAAAATTCCACAAAACACAAACTTTTGCTTATTTTTTTGTCTGAATCTTAAAAACAGAGTACAGTATTTGTCCAAAATTACATTACTCCTAAGACAGTGATGACAAATGTATTTTTATACTTGGAAAAATTAGTATGTCTTACATTCACCCTGAAACAACTGGGTTAGTCTGGCATACTTTTTTCCAGAGCTGTTGAGGGATTTGTTTAGCCCAATAGGATTTGTATTGATTTCTATTTCGCTGCTTTTTTTTTTTTTTGGTGATCTTTATTCTTGGGGTTTTTTCTTGTATTGATTCTGAAAGCTTTAGCCATTTGGGTTATTACAAATGTTGCTATATTTATGCTGTAATTCTACTACAATAACCAAGTCAGACTTTCACAGACTTTCATGCACACACACTCAACATAAAAAGATGCACACACAAGCAAAACTGAACTTTCAACTGGCTTGCTGAAATCTGAAGTTTCTGAAATGAGCTTACTGTATTTTTTTTTTCCACAGATGATTTTTTATGTGAGACAGGAATATTAATCTATAATATTAATTAGTAGATGTTGGATGCTATTTCTCATTCCACTTAGACCAAAATTTCAAATATATATTTTAGGTAAGCCAGTGAGCTCTGGTTTATGCCCTATCTGAATATTTAATCTATGTGGACCAAAGAGCTGTATAAATATGAGACCATTTCAAAAGAAATTCAAGTATTCTTGTAAATAAAAGCAACTATAAGTAGACAAAAAAAGTTTAAGAAAAAGTTCAAAAATAAGGTTTTCCTGGTTGACTTGCTTAACATAAGCAAGTTTTCTCAAATGAATAAAATTATCAAGAGAAACTCTAGCCATTCTAGCAAATCCCAGATTTCTGTTTCATCAGTTAAACTCAGAAATATCCCTGCTTTAGTTGTCTGTAGATGTTTTGATACGTAACTGTATTATTTTGGATTTGATCAAAACCCACAAGCAGCAGTTGCCTAACTTTAAAAGTCAGATGGTCCCATAGAAGTCTGTGGGACTAAGTTGTTTAAAATCAAGCAATCCTAAGAGGATCTATCTTAGGGAAGAGACAAAAAAAAATAAGTCTTATAAGGATGTCAGCTCCAACAGCACTGGTTGTTAAGAATGATAATTCCAAGCACTTGGAATTATACTGGCTAACCCAGTGGATCAGAGGACTCTTTGATACCAGTGCTGCAAATCAAACCTTGCCAAACTTCAAACTGCAGCTGTGTTCCAAGAGGAAAAACTTTCTCCATCTAAGGCAGAATTTGGTTGGCTTCCAAAAGTGATTTATTCCTCTCTTCTTAATAAAACATCTTTTGCACTTTTATGTGTGACTGACACTCACTGTAGCTTGGAGGGCTCAGGGTGCAGAAAAACAAGTGAAGAGCAATTATCCATGGCACCCCCAGGCGGGAAGCATTGAAAAATATTTGCACACGCAGTGGGATGTGATGAGACAATGGCCACAGAGTGGACTGAGGCTGAGCAGAGTGAATGCTCTTACATGGTTTTGCTGTAAGCACCTGAAAGATAAAGTCAGCTCCCGCTGTGGGGTTGGGAACTGCTGTTACAGTTATACATCCTACGTGCTGGAGTGAATAGGAATTCAGATTCAACCCTCTAGAAATGTGGACTTTTCATTTGGCATAAGGTTTTATCTTTGCTCTCAAGTGCTGAAGTTGGCACCCAGTACTTTGTGGGCTGTGGGAGAGTGAGAAAGGATTTTTTGTGTTATCAGAAGGCAAGTGCTAAGTAATAGACTGGCTTACTACCACTGGAGACACCAAGAGCTCAGTAGATTTGCAAATTTTCTGGACTGTCAAGCTGTGCTGCTGGAGCTAAGCTATTTCAGGGAGTTCATTACAGAACTGAATTGTTGAGGAATAAATGAAATAGTCACAGCTCCTGTTAAGAGTTCTTGATGATAATAGCAGTCTTCCTCTCAAATAAGACCATGTCACCACCTTTAAAAATAGGAAACCATTCATTCAAAAAACAGCACATAAAGAATAGAGCTAGAAATGTAGGAACTGGGCCTTATGTATAGTTTACCAGATACTGTGGTCCTTGGGTCACAAAAAGGAACCTGTAGAGGGACAGTTGTTGAATGTGAAGATAAAATAAAAACTTCCCCTCATTTCTAAATGAATCAAATTTTATTTTAATGAAAAGTAAAGGAAAATACAAACTGTGAATTAATCAAACAAACAAACAAAAAAAGAAACAAATCTGATAGAACCTGAATAAAACTAAAAATTCTCAGATTTGCTTCTGTGACACTCCATACTATATACCACATATTATTCATTTCCCTGAAGACTTCTTTTGTGACAAATTCTGGAAAAGAGAAGGAATGAAATTGTAAAAAAGGAAACCTTATGAGTTTAGTATGTTTTTTACAGAAAAAAAATTAAAAATTGAGCTGTTTAATTTTTGTTCTTGAAAAAAAATAATGAAAAAAGTAACAAAGTACAAGTAAGTCACATTACTTCAATAGAAACTTGAAACTGATTATAAGAGTGAGTAATGCAAATTTCTCAGGACTGTCATTCTGCTTGATGGTAGTGGCAGCTGTGTCTTCATACAGCTCAATTAGGGACTCTAAAATGAACCTTTAAAACCTCTTTGTTTCCCAAAAGGGACTTCAAAATATTTTTTCTCTTTGTATTGTGACACAGACTGGCAGTCAAGAAATTTGAAGCTAGGACTGACATTTAGAGAAAAATATGTTTTAGTAAGTTTTTGTAAGGAATTTGTGAATGGACAAAATAAAATACCAGATGAAAGGATGTTATCATCTTGTTTCTCCTTACTGCCATCTTCCATTTAACTGACAGCTCGAGGTAAAGGTTAATTTAGCTCCTAAATACATTATCTTTTGCAGCTTTCAATAAACTAAAGATTTATGGAAGTCCCCCAAGCACATCTTTCTTGTGCTAAAAGCATATCTTTAAATACTTCTTTGTGCTTTCCTTTTCTGTAGAAATTGTATTCCTGGACATTTGGAAATAAACTGCAACAAATGAATATTGGAATGTGTCTGCAACAAGAGGTTGTTTAGGGATGTGCACAGTATAAAAATCTGCTTATCTAAAACCACTGCTAATCATCCTAAAGGACACCTTAAAAACTAAAATTATCAAACACTTAAAATGTATAATGAAAATGGCATACCATTTGCAGAATTTCAATTTCTGTTTGAAGAGTCTCACAGACACTTTCCCAGCTATCATCTTTGCATTTTTCCAATTCTTTCTTAAGTCTGTGTCCAAAAGCAAATAAATTTTCAGGTCAGAGAACTGTTGCTGGGTAACTATTTTTTCAGCTTTGGTCCCAGTTCTCAGTTTGACTTGCCTGAGAAAAGCCTCATTGATCTATTTTCCTGGTCAGGATTTAAGTTTGCTAGTTAGACAAATTTCTGGACTGTGTTCTTTCCATAAACTGTGAAAGATATATGGCCTCATTAGTGATCATTTTCCTTATTTAAACATGTGAATTGGAATTGTGACACTTAGAAAGCACCATAGGTTATCATTCCTATCTTCCTTCCCTGGGTGTCTTCTTGTAGCCTCTGCTGCAGACAGAATGTTGGTTAGATGGGTGCTCTGCCTGCCCTTGTGCCAGCATTGCTCCACACCCCTCCACAGACTCCCCAGCTTTTCTTCCTCTTCTCTCCCAGCTGCTCCCACTATTCCTCAGCACTTACTGTTTCCCAATACTCTCAGCCAGGAGTTCTCCAGCTTTTCTACAATAAGGATTACTTTTAATATAGATATTTATATATAGATATTTTTATATATTTCTTCATTCAAAAGACTGCTTAGTCCTGCTAAAAGGAGATACCTCAACTCTGCACATCAGTGACTGTAGTGGTTTAAATTAATACTTGGTAGGCCCAGAGAAATCTATGGCAGAGCTTTCAGTAGTCTGATAAATACAAGGTGATGAGATTATACTGGGTCTTTTCATGGCTGTCAGAAGAAAAGTATAATGACAAAGATAAAGTTGTTTACCCTTAATACACTTTCAGGCAGCAATCTGAATATTCTGGAACAGACAAACAGACTGAAAATATTCTTCTTGACATTAAATAGGTAAACCAATGCATTAAATCTTGGTTCTTCTGAAGTTGAAACAGAAGGTAGCAACTATTTTTGCTTTTATATACTATAATAGACAATAAATTATTTGACCTTATAGAGATGATATACCTCTTTAGCTGCCATAGTGCAAAGAGGGTGGGTTTCCTACACAAGAAATGGCTTCATTGAGAGGTATATCTTTAAACAGAGGAATAGCTTAGTCACTGTGCAGCTCTAGAATAACAGACTGAGACTGGAAGTTAATTTTGCTGCTCCTGTGGAAAACACAAATATCTTACCATCAATATGGAAAAAGCATGAGCTCTATGTGCTTGCATTATGAAGGAGTAAATGTCCCTTCTTTACAGAAGTATTTCTCATAATGCTTACTAGAATTGAAAAGGGAATTTGGAACTACACTTTAAGAAGTGAAATTTTCACTGTGCTCTAGTACATTGTTAGCTTTCAGTCCATTTCACTGATAGAAGTTCACTTCAAGGTCTAAGAACAGCTCGTGATCTTGACCAAATCTGCTTAACTTCATTGCCTTGTCTCTGCATTTTTCTCTCTGTGTTCTCTGCTAGTGTGATATTAGAACCCTAATTTGCTAAGACAAACAGAAGCCCTACTTTGTTTAATTTACTTTAGGAAAAGACAGGGTCTTAGAGAAAATGCTGTCCCATTTTCTTCCACGCTGCAAAACTGATTCACAGCCTGTTTGCTACTTGTTAGCTAAGAATGATGCCAGTCCATGCTAGATCCACATTAGGGATAGAACAGGCAGAAGATAAGCAGTAGGAGTTGCTTATCTGTGTCTTGGGATTGTGAATTAAATTTTGTTCTTGATGTTTTTTGAAACTAACATTTTGTGTATGGACTTTAAAATTTTATTTTGAATATTTTATAAAACTTTTAAAAGTAGTGAGAGCACAATTCCTTACATAGCATCAGGTAGTGGTGATACAAGAGATTCAAATGTGGTATTTAATTCTTACATTAATCAATTGATCTGCTTTCAGGTCTTCCTTCTTTCTTATTTAGAAGCTAGATAATTACAGTATGTGCCAGGAATATTATACTCACAAAATAAGAGCTGTCTGTTAGGTTACAGTCTACAAAATTAATGCATTGGAGATGCCTGAGTTACTGAATAAATGATGAAGTTTTACCAGAAGGAATGTGAGACAATGGAACTATTAAAAAAAAAAAATGTTTAACCTGAAAGCAGATTTTGTTTTTTCATTTTACATTTAAGATAAGCAGGATATTCATATTCATCTTTCCACTATCAGATTGAATGTGCAAACCAATTATTCATGAAACTACACAGTCTAGATGGAAGGTAGGTTTTCTGTCACCTTTGAAAATGGAAAAAGATGTAACTTTTGCTAAAACAAGGATTAATTTGACAATGATACCCTTTTTATGGCTGTGAAAAAAAGGCAGATCTCTTAGGAAAAATAATCTGAAAAATCACATTAGCATTTGGCTCCCCATGTCCATTGGTTTTGTTTTATTTTTAGTATTTTGTTCTCATTGCTGACAATAAAATATAGCTTTAAAATAAGTCATTGCACTGGACTAACGGTGTCTTGGCAAGTTACAGTATCAGAGGCGCTAATGAACAGCTGGAGCTGAAATGCCACATTTGCAATAGCTAAACCTAGCCTCAAATCAAGTGGGTGGGACAACAACATCAGCATTTTTTGGATGCTATCTTGTCCTAGACCTAGCTCTGCTATCAATGGCCAATTTTCCATTAGTCTTGAATGCTAGAAGTGACAGAGATGAAGAAGGAGGAGATCACTGAAGATGATCGATTTTGCAGCTCTGAAATGAGCCCAGCTATTAAATGTCATTGGCATTTGTGGCTGATACACATTCTTCTTGAATTTCAGCTCTATATGCACATGGCAAAGAGGAAAAATAATTTGAAATCAATACATGCTGGTATTATAAATTGAACTATGAAGAAAATAATGTTATTGTCAAACAGGTCTCTCTGCAAATCATCCATAGATTCAAATTACTGGATCAAGACTTTAGTATCCTAAACTTGCATTCCAAGATTAATTTTATGTGAAGAGGTTTTAAAGGAGAAGTAATTTCTGTAGAAGGTAGGGTTAATATGTGATTTTAGAGTCTATTTTTTTTTTTTTCTAGTGGGACTGAAAGACCATACCTAATTGTTGTTGGAGTTGCAGACTATCTATTAGTTATGTTTTGCTGACACAAGTACAATCTTTTTTCTGTATTCTCTTTTTTGTCTTTGCCTTGTTTACAACCACCATTTTATTTTTTAATCATAAATTTGAGGGAAATCATTGTGGTGTGTCATAAAACAGAATTGCTTGACACTGATATACAGGGCATAGAATTCATGGTACAAAATGAAATTCCTTAAGAAGTTATATATAACTAGAGAGTACATGTCTTGATTTTTGTGGGATTTCATCATGAACATCAGGAGATACATTTATCAGTGTTGTAAGACTTTATTGGGACTGAAGAAAACTATTGAAGACTTTAGTTTATTGTCTCAGGATCAAGTAGAGGTAAGACAGAGGTAGTTTTCTGTCAGTTCAACACTGGGATTAAATTAATGCATATGTTTCTACAGTGAGAGCAAGATTTTGCTGGTATTTACAATTTGCTGACACTACTAAAAGAGAATATGCTCTTGATATAGTTGAAGAAGTCAATAAATTTTAACTATTATCAATTGATTGAGGAAGAGGGAAAACAAGTCTTAAATGGATTCAGTATCCCAAAATATAGTCAAGTACTTGAGTTACACAATTAAATATAACAGTCTGTGTTTGATGGAGCAGAAGGATAATAAAATTAGGCAAGTGATCTAATAGTAATAATAAAGTCTAGCAAGAAGATGAAACATGAACACAAAGAAGGTATTAGACAACATAACAATGGAAATTAAATGTATATTAAAATAAGTTGATCTACCTTAAGTAAAAGAAGAAATTTTCTGCTTTTGCTGTTCTGGATAAAATGTTAAATATAAAATACATAATTATAATTGATTAAAGCTTGCTTTTTGTGAATGCTGTTAGGCAGCGATAGATAAGAGTAGTTAGAAGTCTTGTAAACCGTGATGATATTTTCCAAACACATAAAACATCACAAGACATACTTAAGGAATATATAATAATAAGTGAATAAACATGGAAAGGTTAAGGCACATAAAATTGTACATCTAGGATGAGATTTGCTTTTGTGCAGACAGCAAACCAAAGTTGTGTGAACTATTTTTCATTGGAACTATAAAAATGAGCTACATAGGAAAGAAAAATTCAAGCATGTATGTGAGATGTGAAATGAAATGTGTTTCTAGGGGTCAATAAGATTCCTATTGAATGGCAAGGAAAGTAAATAGGGGTCAATGGTTCTTCTAGTTCAATTCTCTTGATTTCTCTATTGGACAGAGAAAATTAGATCTTAATCTAGGTATATTAATATGGCTACTGTATTGCTGAAATTAATATCTCTATTATGTACAGCTTTCTTCATGTGTATAATATACTCAGAGCTAAAAAGGATTTAGAATTGTCCTTGTTTCATTCTGCTTTATGGGCTCTCCATGCTCTGCTCATCTTCCAGGTTGAATTAATCTTTTTTGACAAGTAGGTGAGAGATTTGTAAAAAGTATTCTTACACCCTCCTGGTATTTTTTGGGAAATAATTCTTGCTTCTTTTTTTTTTTTATCTTATCCACAGCTATATTTCTTTTTATGTTTATAGCTGTATTTTGTGCACACAGTATGCTCAGACCTCTCTGCTTCCAGGTACCTGTTATTGAAGTCCCTAATTGTGTACAAGTAGGTAAACTTAACTGTACATAATTATATTCTTCCTCTTTTTAGTGACTTTTCTGCAAGGTATAGAGTTTAATTGCTTAAGATCATCTTGTCTTAAAACACTTTCTATTCTAAAGTCATTAACTAAAACATTAAGCAAGACTAACTGTGACTGTTGTTACTTTGAATCCCAGAATTTTGAATTGCAGATCTATGACTGTTGTTACTATTACTCATTTCTTTATTTAATTTTTTTTAATATGTCTTCCCTAGGTTAACTAGTATTTTTCCATGTGGGATAACATCAAATATTTTATGTCTAGATGGATGGCATTGGAATTTTCTTTGTCTAACCTATCTGTTGTCTTATCAAAGAAAGGCATCATTAGTCAGATTTGATCTACTTTTTGTAAATCCATACTGCAATTCATAATGGAAAGCTATTTTAACATAATTCAAGCTATAATAGTTCCACTAGGCACTGCTATTAAAAAGAAAAGCTCAAAAAAATCAATGAGGAGATTGCCATTGAAAAACTCATTTTGAACCACATATATTACTCCAGAGACTGATATTTTCTGATTATAAAATTTAACATCAAATTAAATTGCAAAAAAAAAAAAAAAATAATCCACCAAAAGCATGCATGGGGCTTAGGCAGTCTGTTGTTTGCATGAACAATTTGTTGAGCTCTAAGGAATTTATTTCCTGTATGATTTGTATGAAAAAAAAATTACTTTTTCCTTCCTAATTTTGGTAATGGAGTTTCTTTTTCTGGATTATGAAGAATAGGAAGGAGTACTATATTTTTAGGATTTAGACACATATACAAAGATATGAACTATTTACAAAGTAAGCAGATTTCATGCATTTCCTTTCTGCTAGTTCTTTTCTAAATAGAAGAGAAATTCAGGTTTCAAAGAAGCATTTTATCCTTATTTTACCTTTTAAATAGGTTGAAAGATACCTATTTTAGGTAGAAATTCTCTGGTTTAGTCTAAATAAACTTCAACTAAAATTATTTCTATCTGTTTTACTTAAGACAAAAATGTAAAATTAAAATGTGAAAGAGGATAAATAATTAATAGAGTAATTACAACGAATATAACAGTGAAATGCCATAGTTAGGAATTCACTGGTATAAGTTAGTCTCTGTTTGACTCCTGTATTGTTCCACTTAAGTGATGTTACTTGCTACCTGCCAGGGAAATGGGACTCCAGAGAGCTGATGCCAAAGTTTTTTCCTGCTGTTTTGTGTGTGAGGATGGCATTGGCAGAACAGATGATTAAAACAAGGCTTTTGATCTTAATTGCAGCTCTCTTTGGGGGTGCTGCTAATTATATCTGTGCTTAACATTCCAAATCTGGTTGGCTTTTTTCTGTATCCAGTGAGTATCAGGACAAGTCTCTCCAGCAGCCCCAACAGCTGCTGGAATTACCAGTGCGTGCTTCTCATGACCCTTTGCAATTCTTTGATGGATTTGAGAGAAATTTTATGAAACTGCAGACGTGGTATGGGGCATTTTTCTCAGATCAAAGATGAATTGCTGTAATTTGAATTAGCTGGCTGCACTCTTCAGCTGAAACGCAATTTACTTTTAGATATATACTTAATTGCAATGAAGATTCTTGCCTTGCCAGCTACTTTTGATATTGATTTTTAAGCTAGGACTAGGGATGTGATACAGTAACAGACTTGCAGGGTGATCTGGGAGCTACATATATCAGTTTATTGATGCTGACTGTCTCTCATGTTTGTTCTAAGGAAGCATCAAGAAAAAAGGTACTTTTACCACTGGTAAAAATGTGGTTTCCAGCTCTGTAAAAAATAAAATCATATTCTGTGCTTATTACATAGGGAAAAAAAAAAACCAGCTTTCTGACCCACATTATGTGTGTCAAAATATTATCATCTTTATGTGTAATAAAAATGATTTTCAGTGAAAGCTAGAATTCTATTCTTGCAATAAACTCTGTATGGGGATAAAGAAACTGATCTTGTTAGTCTAAAATAGGTTGTTCCTCAGACACAGAAGATTCAATCATATTGATTTTAACATGACCAAAATTGACTCCTGTTAAGATGTACACAAGTATATCAGTGTATCTCGAGAAGGAGAACCTTCAGGGATCAAAACTATGCAACCTCTCTGAGCAAGCTGTGCCTCCTCATGATAAAAATGATTTTTCCTTAAATTCACTCTAAATCCTCTGCTTTTTGCCTTTTGTTCTCTTACTGTGCAGCACTGTGGAGATCCTGGCTCCATCCTCCTGGTGATCCAGAGGTACCAGAGAGTGATCAGATACCTTCCAGGGGACTTTTTATATGCTGCATTATTTACAGTGTGTAATATAAATCCCCTTTCATTCTCTTAATTCACTAGCCCAAACCAAGAAGTGATGAGTAGGATTTGTTAAATTGAAAAAAATCTTGAACTGCTAGAGTTGTATGAATCTGACAAAGTTTGGGATGGGTCTAAAGAGCCCAGCAGTGACATAGAGAGGTAGACAAATGAGGATTGCCTGCTTGGCTCCACTGAAAAGCAGGATCTATTAGTGCTGACATGGAAAGACAGTAGCACATCTCTATTGCTTCTGGCATCTGAGTTAACTTTTTCAGGGCTATCTCTCTCCATGAAGCATTGAGCTTTTCTGATCAAAAGCAAGTGCAAGATAAAAATATGATTTAGGGAAATCTGTCCTAAATTTTTCCCAGTATCTGAAATGAAAAAAAATGTTTCAATTTTAAGAAAATGTGTTCAGTATATTACTAGACTTCAAGAAAGGCTTGCATTTTGTGATAGTGGTAATAGCATAGGAGCACTTTATATTTTGAACTACAGGCAATTATCAAATAATGTTAGCTTATCTTGACCACAAAAGGAGGCATTTCATGAAATGAGAAAATCTCATCATCCTTCTTGCTTTGGTTGTAAATGACACTTGCTGATTTTGCAGTTAATAGAATTCAATATGTTTTATCCAGTTTTCCACCCAGAGAAAACCAAAGTGTCATTCTATGGAGCTGTGAGTTAATTTCACTGCAGAGAAAGACAGCCACACACAGATTTCATTGATCCCTAGGATCTCAGGGGCAGAGTTGAGGATTAAAAGTATGATAACATTGGCTACTTCTATACCTTCCACACAGGAAACCTATTATAGGAAACTAATTTCACAAATTTGGCTATTCAGTGGCATCATGGCAGTAAACTACTGCAAGGGAACTATGTTAGTTGGAAGGAAGTTGACAGCCCCATGTATCACCAACCCCAGTATATCATGATTGAATGAATAATGTAAAGGAGTGAATTATAACACACTGTCCTGGAGAATCGTTACTGTTATTATTATTTACACTGTGTCTTCTATGTATATGTTGAATGCAAATTTTTTGCTACTGTATGCAGGATTGTGAGCTAATTAATTTTTATGCTGAGGGGATTTTGGCCATGTCTCAACACCATGTAAGAGGTTGAAGAGAGTTAGTAATAGGGCTGATATATCATTTTCTTTCAAAAACCGATATTCAGCAAAAAATGGGTCATTACCAAATCGTCTTTCAGAAAATTGCTCAGGGTTCTCTGCAAAGTTATAACTTTCCATTGGAAGTTTCAGATTAAAAAAATCCCCACTTCATTTATTTATTTTTTTGTCAAAAGCTTAGGGGTATGTAGGAAAACCCCTGTGATAGTTATACAGGTTGTGTTTTTTCTTAATCGCTGTTAGAAAATCTTTTGGACTAGCTTTATAAAGAGGAGTTCCTTTGCATTGTCTATTAAATTTTTTTAAATAATCCCAGGTGCTTTTATCTGGGCCATAACAAAATAGGAAAAAGATAGTCAATTCTGTGATATTTGGCTTTCTGCATTCAGAGATTTTTTTTTTTTAAAGAAAACATTACATTATTTTCTGTGAAGTGAAAATCTAATGTTTCACTTAAGCAAACTGACAATTGTTACCACTTAGTACCTGAGAAGAAAACTTCACTGTTAAGGATGACTGTGCAAGGTCTTCTCTTCTGTCTTGGTTAAGTCTCCAATATTTATTTTTTTTAACCAGCTTAATTATAAGGCTAACTAGAAGTCATGGCAGAGATCATAGAGAAAATAAAGTTTTAGTTTTAGTTGCATTTAGTTGCTCCAATAGAAGCCCAAGGAGGTTACTGTGGCCAGCCCAGGCCATTGCAATGGACTCTACACAGCCAGGCAGCAGATTTAAGTTTTGAGGGTGAAATGCTGTAATCAACAGCACCTGGTGTTGTCTAATAAAAAATGAATGTTTTTCGGATTTCAGAGGGATATTGTACATGAAAGGTAAAATAATCATTGTTACCAGGACTAGACTGCTGTGACAGTCCTAAAATTAAATTAAGAACTAATTAACATGAGGCTTTTACCTTAAACATTCAGGATCAGTCTGAGGTTTTTCAGTGACTTGAACTTTTTCTGCTTCTAAATGTTTTGTCATTCTTTCAGCTTCCCTGATTGCTTTCTCAAGGTCTAAACATGAAATCAGAATTACCCTATAAATACATATATTAATCATTCATATTCAAAGACCTTCTACATATTCTAAATTTATATTTTCTAATATTTCTTCATGAAACTCTTTGAAGGGTAAAGGCATCTAAATAAAGAAAATTAATTATTTTATTATTATTGCAATCACACATTGCAATCTAGAAAATTTCGCTCCTTTCACAAACAATTTAGGACCACACTTACTGCTTTTCTTAGCTCTTACTGTGATACATTACTTTGATATCGGTAAAAAAAGATACTAAAGCACTCATTTACATTATTTTAATTCAGATTTCAAAATATTCCCTATTGCCATGATCACCTTTGACATGAAAGATTTTAAACAATATTTATGTTGATTTTAAGTTCTCTGAAATATTAAATTCTACATTTAAGTATGTGAATTACCAGCAAAAGCAAAACTTTCTTTCATATTCACAGCTCATGTTTCAGCATCTCTCTGGACCTCAATATCAATGAAATTTCAATTAAATCCCATTGAAATCCATAATATTTTTAATAATCGCGTTTAAAAATTATGTATTACATATTGTAAAAATAAATTAAAATATCGTTACTCTGACTTCTTTTGCTTGAGAAAAGAAAATTGATGGAAAACATTTTTCAAAAGCATTTGCCAAGCCACAAATAATTATCAAAAGAAATAGTTATCAGGCACACCTTTGAGCTCACTTTGGAGAGCAAATAAATCCTGCTTTAATTCATCCTTCTGCAGCTGGAGTTCATTTAACTGAACGTTTTTATGTTCCATTGACTCCATTTCTAAGAGAAAATACATTTTAAATTAAAATGCATTGCAGTTTTAGCATTCATGATACAATCTTAAATATTCTCAACTACTTCTACCAATCTTCAGCTAGTCAAAAGAACCTTAAATATAAAACCAAAATAAACTAAAATAATTCATATTTAACACAGCTCACAGGAAATTATATGTTGTATAATGAATTCATAGCTATGAAAGAAAATTATGTTTTTAATGTTATTAGCTGTTCAACATATTTTGTTGTCAGGGCATAAAAAGAATGGTTTGCTTTAGAGTTAATTCAGCTATAAAGAAAGGAAGATGGCTGATTGAATAGGTGGAGAACAGACACCTCTCAGCAGGACTGAAAAAAAACCCTTCTTAGTATTTTTGGTGTTATATATATATTTGACCTTTACTATTAGACAGCATCTGGAATTAATTTTGATTGTTTTTCTACCAACTGGAGGTCCTCGCATAATTTCCTTGTTATGAGTTGCTTAAACTTTTCACTTCAGAGTTTTCAGTGTGGTCATGAGTGTAGCAAACAAAAAGACAAGTTGTACTTCAAGAAAGGTGCAATTAAAGGATGGAACTGAGATGGCAACTGTACTTGGAGAAGATTTTTGTCACCCTTCAGGTACTACTGATCATTTAACTGCCCAGCTCTGCCTGAATATGTAAAAATTAAATGCAAAATTTAGCACTTGACACCAAATACAGACTTTTCAGTAGATTAGTATCATAGCCACAGGAAATAAGAAAGGTGATGTTACCTAGTGCAAACTCCAGTGGACAGTTCTTTTTCAGAAACTTTACAGCAGCTATGGGGAATTGAAAGAGCTGTTGCTTGACAGTTCATGAGGCTGGAATGGACTTTGAGGGCTCATCTACTGCATTCTTCTCCTGAAGGCAGGATCAGCCTTTCATTTCTGAAAAATGCTGGTTTCACCTTTTTTCAAAAAACTTTGGTAATGGACACTCTTAACTCCTTTGGTAGTGGAACCTCCAAAGGCAGAGACTTTCAGTTTTCCACTTGTTAGAAAGATTCCCAAGCTGTCAGACAGACTCACCCTTACTGTGCTTAACACTGGTTACTTTTTATTCAGTTCATTATAGGTATAGAGAATGTATTTATTTACTTTTTACAGGATACTTAAACAGTTTGAAGACTCATAGCCATCTTTCATTAGTCTTTTCCTTAATAGCTTAAATGGTCACAATTCTTTCATTTTCTTCCTTCTGATCTGCTCCAGAACTGTGATCACTCTTACTGGTCATATGTAGATTCTCTCCAGCTGGTCCACGCTTTTTTTTTAAGTTCAAGATCAAAATGAGCTGCACAGCACTCCAGCTCAGAGCTTAACTGCCCCAAATAGTAAAGAATTATTTTCATGTGTTAGAGGTCAGAATTCTGTTTGTGTCTCAGTGTGGTGCTGGCATTCTGATGTCGTTGACTCACGTTCAGCCTGTGATCCATGACGACCCTGATTTCCTTGCAGAGGGACTGCCCTGCAGTGTGACCCTGTGACATCTCCTACTCTGCACCTCAACTGACATTCAAGCTACACTGTGGCAGTAAAGGACCAATCCTACAGGACATCTGTATATAATTCTTTTAAAGCTAAGGAAATGTACAGAGCTCAGCCACAGGTGATCCTAAACCTAATTCAGTCTCTGTGTGTATGACTGTCAGCTCTGTGCTGGCTGAATTAGGCATTGGGGGGCTGCCTCTTCAGGTTGGCTTCTTCTCCTCACAGTGCTCAAATCAGAAACTTGAAGAGGATAGGGAACAGAAGAGCCTTTAATTATTCTTGGTATGTCAGACCACACTCTTTCAGCTCAGTGCTAAAAGGCAGCTCCAGACAGTGGGGGAATGAAATTAGAATTACTGGTTTGCACAGCTATATTTTATTGATTTGTGCTAATCCAAGATAAACTGGTTTAATATAAGACTTACCATTTTTCAACAGAGCTGCCTCATTCTCTAAATCATTTATTTCAGTCTTGACTTTCTTTTTAATAAGAAGATCTCTATTACTTGTTAGTCCATATTCATTGTTAAACTCTGTTACTTCTCTGGTAAAATTATCTTCCTCTTCAGTAATTTTTTTCTTTGCATCTGCCTGAAAAAAAAAGAAAGAGAAGACTAAATGTTCAGGTAAAATAAATGAAAGTCTTTGTTAAGCTAAACAGACTGAGACACACTGTTGTTTTTTATCTTTAAACTCGTAGTAGGAAAGTCAATAGGTAAACAAAAAAATAAATGTGAAAGTAAAGAAAATATTTACTTTTTCTTACTAGAACATGAAAATAGTCTACAGCTCTATCATTATGCCTGTTGTTTTGAACTATTTTTTCATGTAAATATGAAGGGTCTATTCTTGATAACAGAGCATTTTAAAAATGACTACATTGCTACAGACTTGAACCAGCAGATTTTCAGTTTAACTCTCATATTGAAACTAGAAAATTCTCTTCGATTTTCTAATAACATAGTGTGGCAGATTTTTTTAGCTTGTTATTAAACTAAATAAAAGTGTTATTTAACCCTCTGCAGAATGCAGACATACTTTAACTGCCTTATAACTATCAATAATGCTCTTGTTGATAGAAAATCACAGTTTCACTTTCTGTGAAAAAAAGTATTCAAAATTGTAAGGTTATATTAAATTCCTTGAAAGAAATCTGAATTGATTGCTAAATTGAATAAAATGAAATGACCCCATATGCAGAAAAAAAGAAAACTTATATATCAAACTTCACACATGTACTGGGAATACTTTTGGGTGATGCAGAAATATGATTTAGTTAAAAAGATATCTACCTAAAGATTTGGGTTTAATACTGGCGATTTGAACTGCATGTTTAAAATTTAGCTCTGTTAATTTAAAGGAAAAATACATATGCAGAAAAGACTGCTTGTCTGTGGCATTTCTTCATATTTACAGATCCAAGAAGCCTCAACAAAGTAAGAGGAAGGCAATATTCAGGTTAGCATCTGAGAAAACTGGAAAACTTGTTATAAGTACCTACCTTTTGAGGTGTGTCTGACATCAAAGAAATTGTGTGCTATGTCAGGATTGCTAAACTGTCCACATTTGCTAAAATGTGGTGTGGGCCTCCCTGGGGTTTTCCTTTGATCCTTTTCAATATTTTTTACTGTGGATGAGGCAATCCAATTTAAGGCAATGCTTCCCTAGCTTACTTTTATAAAGGAAATAATCTGTCAGAATTGGAGCTCAGTCATACGACAACAAACATTAGAAAATTAAGTCAAGAATATAAAATCTGCTTTGGAGATAAAATGCAGCATACACTACCTTAGATCATGGTTTAAATTAAATGTGAGAATTTATCAACATTTACGTTGTTACATATACTAAAATTAAAAAAAAACCAAAACAATTCCTAATTTAAAACATTAGTTTTCCCAGATTTTCAAATTTCAAAGCTGATTTCTCTTGTCCAATAGGAAAGAGCTGTGTGAATATCACAGCTGGAAACATACCATGATTTTAAGAAGACTGGCTCTTTGATTCATAAGTTCAGCTGTTTGTTTTTCTAAGCTGTCTTCACGTTTCTTCAGAATTTCAGCATTGAATTGCTTTACAGAAAGATGCTGAACCTTCCAAAAGGAAAAAAAAATAAATTATAAAGTAAGGTTATTGTTTTATTGTTTCATATCCTCTGTACACAAGGATCTTGGTCCAGTTTAGAAAGAGCTGGCAAAGCTGCTGGACTATGAAAAGCATAACAGCTCTTTTGTTCCCTCAATAACATTTCAGTGTACTGTTAAGATTTTGAAAAGTCTCCTTTCTTTGAAAGACTCATTTAGTGGTGCTCTGTCTATCTAAAATGGCAGTTTAAAATCTGCTAGGTTAAGGAGAATTTTTTTTTTCCAGGAAAAATGTTGACTATATGTAATCCTTTAGCCAACATAATCCACCATCTTCCATCTCACTGTGTAAAGCTCATCACAAACCAAATGAGACAATAATATCAGAATAATATCAGGGGGACAGGGGTCCAAGCATCCTGGTTTTGGCTGAGTGGCTGTACACGTCATCCACTCTGCAGTGCTACTATGGAATATGCAAAGGAGAGCAGGACATTTTTCTGAGCACAGTTTCTGGTATTTTTACCTGAGGAAGGGTTAGTTCACTGGTTATTAACAGTTTGATCATAAACCCCCCAAGCCCTGAACTTTGTTTTTGTACAGTTATTAATTTTAACTATTAGTTTATCTGATAGGAGGGTGTGCTGTTACTCTGTTAATGCTATACCATTGCATTTCCAAAATTTGCTGAAGACTTCTCGTTTTCCTAGCACATCTACTGTATCATTGTCTAACCTAAGTGCAGATATATGGTGGGAATAAACTATAACAGTAACAAATATGAAACAGCTACGTGCTGTAGAGTATTAAAGGAGGAGAATAATTTATTTGATGGAGTGTCAAGTTCTCTTGACTCAGAGCAAGGAATAGGGAAAGAAAGGTTATATTTGCCCACAGAGAGCAAAGACACCGTAAGTATCAGGAATTAAATTGAATAGTCAGAATAAAACACCAGTGTTTGTCTGTGTAGACGCAGAAAGACCAAATAAGAATGGTATTACAGGAGTAACAATGAAAATGTTTTAAAGTTAAATAATACACAGGATTGTGGAGAGGGAGTTCATCTGATCAGAATCTGATCAGAGATGAAGTTCATCTGATCAAAATAGGAGGATAGTGGAATGAAGTGCCCAAAGATTAGAATGTGAGAGTTGGAAAAGATTTTTTCCTAGACTTTTTCCTCATCCCTGATATATCCAGCATGCTGAGTGTGCAGGTCATGCTTGGCTCAGAATTTATTTTACATATTAATTCAAAGAGAGTGGGTGGTCTTGCACCACTGTATTTGTAATACTGTACATAACTAGCTTCAGTGAAGTTTCTCCATCTGTAAGATGCCAAATTCATCTATGCATTTGCAACCAATTTTTTTAAAGAAGTCATTGAGCTACAAACAGCAAAATGCTGTAATTTGGGTTCTAATTACATGCTACCTGGTTTTACAGAAGAGAGAGAAAAATTGCATTTCCTAGGACTCTTTGATTGACCAGAGGCAGTGTCTGTGAAATAAATGTCAAAAAACTTCTGAACTCAGTCTCATCATCTTGGTCAGGAATCAGCTGCCGTGTGTGCACGTGGTTGGATATGTTGCTTATAAAGAACTGCAGTTATTTGGTGTGGGATAAATTGAACAGCATTAGCTGAACAGCTTATTTAATATTATTTGAATTACATGAACTATTGCAGACATATGTAAACCTAATTCCTGTAGTGAAAAACAAATTACTTTAAATAATGTCAATAACTGTATAATTTTTAAACCTAAATACAGTCTGATTGAAATGCATTTTTCTGTTCCATTACTTTTCTATATCATGTCCTATCTACAAATGAATCAATGGCAGACTAGGCAAGCAAGAAAAATGTATTTTTGTGGACATCAGTGAGAATATTATTAATACTGGTCAGTAAAGCACATAAAATTTAATTAGGAATAGTTCTTCAGCTCTTCCCATTAGTCATTTACAATAATGGCTCTACTCTCGGGACCTTCTGTGCCTACCACGTAAACCTTGATTATAAATCACCTAGCATCAATAACAAATTAGTAGTATAAACATTAAATTGAGATGTTTGTAAATAAACTTATGAGTAAGACTACTGAGGACTTCACCTAACAAGCAACATCCAGATATAATCTGTGTTGGATAAATAAGTTACTATTTTAAAGCACCTTTGGGCTCTGAGATTGTGACATACATAAATGTGAGCGTGTGAATAGCTGGCTGCATGATTATAGTCTCAATTTGCAACAAGTAAATATTTGTAAATGAGATCTATTCTGATCCCTTCTCTGTAATGTTATTTATTTTATATATATATATATATAATGTATGCTATATATAATATAATTAGATATAATTAATTATTACTATATATATGTAAAATAGTTATTTTACAAAAGGCAGAAGAGACTGTTTTAGGAAGGATAAAAGTCATCCCCCAAACATTTATTTTCTCAACTCGATGAGGCAATCTCCCAAAGGTTCTTGAAGTTGTTTATTTAAATGATAGGATCCAACAGCTCTGACTTCAAAGAAGGCTCCACATGCTTTCCTGTTGTGAACACACATTCTGTCAGCACAGATACTTAAGAGCACAGGGGAGGGCATTTAGACTTAATTTTCAGACACAAGCAAATGGATTTTTAAATAATTCGCAACCACAGGTGTTATTGGCGAAAAACTACAAAACTAGTTGCTTAATCTGAAAATACATCTGTAGTTTGATTAAATGGAAAGAGTAATAAAATCACTAAATAGATTCAGAAACTTTCCTCTGTCTTTGGCCTCCCTAGAAATACACTTAGGGCTTGTAAGCCTTAACTGTAAGCTCACATAAAGATTCTGTATATGACTCCAGATTCTATGAAATAAACACAGGGGATAGTTCCATATATGTTATGTGAAAAGAATGAATATACTAATATAAAATTTTAATAATTTTATTGTTACTAATGATAACAGTATATGCTATTTATTAATTATAGTATTATTAATAGTATTAATAATATTAATAAATGGCATTGGGTAACCAAGGGATGGCTTCTGTACACTGGAGGAAAGGGCTGTAACAAGCTGCAGGACTGTTGAAACAGAGTATTTCACACCATGCCCCAAAAGTCATCTTGCCCTGAACACAGCCAGGGGCCAGCCTCAAGGGTGAGATCTGTGGGAGGAGGGATGTTCATGGATGCTTTTTTACTACAAAAGGGCACAGTGCAGGTTTCCTCCACGCTGTGCTACTCAGCAGGTGAAGAACACTTCTTGAAAGTGCTTATGGATCTATTCCTGAAAGAATAGGCCATATATTTGTAAATGTAATGTATTTCATTATTATGCACACTATAAATATGCCTGCTCACCTGGGTTTCTAAGTTAATTTTTGCAGCGCTCAGCTCTTCTTTCATTTGGATAATTTTCTCATAACCTCTATTTATGTCGCATTTAGCTGCAAGACAACAAAAACCTGTAAGAGCAGGCGCTCAGTTTGTGGACATCACGTCCTTATAGAAAGGCGCTGGTGGCAAGACTCAGCCCTGCTGGCTCTGCTTTCCCCAGCACGAGTCCCCTCAGGACAGCCCCGCAGGCCTCATCCTCGGGGAATGGGGATGGAGGGCCCTCAGGATGGCACCCATGGGGCCGACCTTGTTGGATGAAGCTCCTCTTCTCCCTCGCCTGCTTCTCCATGAACTGTATTTGCTGGAACAGAGCATCCAGGTTCATTCCTGGCCTCTTGTGGAGCCTGTGGGCTCTGTGGGCCGTGTTCCTTGGGAGGGCTCCAGGAGGGTCCCCACAGCTCTGCCCTCAGGCCTTGGCCTCCCTGGGCAGGGCTGGGGATGGAGGCCTGGGACACGGCTGAGGGAACACGGGGACAGAGAGGGAGGTGAAGGCTGCAGAAATGGCAGTGAGAACAAAGCTCAAGCACTGGGAAATGCTAGGGGAGCCTGCATGGAAAACAGGGAAGGGGAACAGGCTGGCAGGGAAGCTGCACAGTAGGAGCAGAAGATATTGGGTAAGGAAAAAGATGACACTGAATCACATCAAACTTGAGCACACCTGTCAAACTGGTTCTGACTCAGGATCTGGGGAGTTTTAGTCAAACAGCTCTGGCTTTTTTAATTCTCTAGTAACATGTGCTCCATACTGGTTTTCTGTCATTCAGATGTTTTTCTCTACCACTTCTTTTTGTGGAGGGACCATCATCCTTTCTAAATTGTACATCTGCTCAGATTTACTTATCTTTTGAAGTGTGATGTTTAACCTGAGAAATTAAGGAAATAGGCTAAAATCTGCTATCAGTAAAGTTGACTCTATGGAACTTACAGTGATCACACTCAGCTGGGTTGTATTTCACCATGAGTGTAAAATGGGCAGTGTTTCTGTTCCAGTTAGTCCCAGTAAGCAAAGACCACAACACAGCCCATTTTATGCTCTTCTGGAGAATAATTGTGTAAAAATTTACAATGCTCTGGGTTCCTGCAAAGTTCTGGTTTGTACATTACTGGATGGTACACCTGGAAATGCAAGCACCTGGTTGAAAATATAATTCACATTACAAGGTTTGCTTTTACATCTTGGGAAGGACTGACTCCATTCCCTGCAGAGAATAACTGTGTGAAGTTTGCCTACTTGCTTTGAGGCAGAAAAAGCCTGGAGGAATGAAACTTTATAGATTTCCAGACTTTTTAACACTGAAAAACATTAGTTGTGCATTGTTATAGTTTTCCTCAGAGGAGATACTGTCTTAGCATAGATTGTAGCAGCAAAGTTCAGAAATTAGAAAGTCTTTGACCATCAAAAACCACAACAATATACATGAGAGGATAAATGTATCATTAATGTAAAAGCTATTCTAAGTCAGCAGAATGAAACAGAATTCTGGAAAAATCTTAAGTTATAGCATTTACTGCTTAAAAGGCACCATGTTACAGATTATACTGTTAGAAAATGATGTTTTTTAAAAGAAAGACATTGCTCTAAGAAAATGTGGGTTCTGTTGAAATTTAAAACCCTGAAACTAGCACATTATGTTGCAGGAAATGCAATTATTTTTTTAAAATACCACAAAGTGCAACTGAGGGGGAAGAGTTCACAAAAGTGAATTTAGAAAATGTTTCAGAAGTGAAGCTTCCTACCCAAAGGTCAAAGGGAAAGCAGATGAGTCAAACAGGAACATTTGGTGATTGAGACAGTGATTTGTTACACAGGTCTGATGAGTCAAAAAGTCATTTTACAAAATTCAAGAAAATGAACTGCTCTATCAGTGGATCAAGGAGAAAATAAAATGAAAAGCTTTCTTTGAAGTTTTTGAGACTTGACTGCTTTTGTGTTTGAAGCTGAGAAGTCTGCTGTAGGCTGGGATAGAGTTCAGTGTCACTTATTAAAGGAATGACTGTGTTTTGTGGAGGGTGCTTCATCGCCTCTAATTATGGCAAAGGAGCTGTTCTCCCCAGAAAGAGGAGTCTGACTCCAACCACACTTCTCACTGTCTGAGAATGACCATTCAGCACGATTAACAGTCCTCTAAGAGTTTCCTTCAGAAAAAAATTCTGTGGGACAAGCATTTGACATTAAGCTTCACAGTTTTTGACTTCTGCAGCAATTTGCTATGTGCTTGATTTTTATATGGTAAATTACTCACAATAATAACTCAGGATTATGTAAATTTAACCAAGCATGTGAAACATATACCAGTGATTTCAGAATCAGGATCAAATCCATCAGATCAAAGGTGTGCACTTGCTGGCTCCCATGGAAAGGGATGAGATGGCATGAACCTGGATGTTTCAGAATAAAAAGTAAAACGTGCATTGCCTTTGCTCAACTCCAACTTTTGCAAAGCATAAGATCTTTGGTAGATCACTAGCTGCTAGAAAGGTGACTTTAATTTCATTCTGTCGGTCATATCAGTACATCCTAATCTTAATCTATATCTGTATCTTAATCACTGTGCTGTAATCAGGTCATGTCTTTTTAGTGTTCTTCAAAATTACTAATTGCCCTTCGTAATCAGGCTGCTGTGCTAATACTGAAGTTTCTTCTACAAGTTTCTTCTCTAGTTTGTGTAGGAAGAAGAAAAGAAAGATTTTTCTTGTCATTTCAAGACACTATAAAAAATTATTACTGTAACATTTCTAAATCATATACACTCTGATTGTTTCATGAATTGTTTTTCTAAAAGCCAAAAATAGAGGCAAAAGTGAAGAAGTGGAAGGGTGCAATTGATGCAATATGGTCTTCACCATAAGAAATGCATGATAAGAACTAGAAATTGTTTTATATTTAATTGATTATATTTACAAATAAATTTTGTCTTTTATTCTTAAGCACTGTTAGTATTTTTTCCATATACAAACTACACTGCTTACTTTTGAACAGTTTCATTTATGGCAAATCTTTTTACCAACCTACATCTCTCTGGTCTTCCTTTGCTCTTGGGGGTCTTTGTATTTGACAACTACTTTTGCCTACCTCACATGAAGGAATAAAGTCAAATTGTTCTGTGGCATGAATTCACAGCTGTCATTTTGCACTCAGCACTGAAGTTAACACTTCCTTTAAAGGAAATAGCCTAAATATATGTATGTGTGTGTATGTAAAAAACAAACAAAAAAAATATATGAGAGTGCTCTAACAGCTTGGAATGTAATGCTGAGCAGAAATTCTATTGGAGAGAAACTACAAATGTTGAGAAACTGAAACCCAGTAATTATTTATCATAATCAGCACTAAAAAAATCACAGACTTATTAAAAATTCATTTTATAATGCCACTTCTAAACAGCAAGGGTTTAACTCTCTTGTTTAAAATTTCATTGAAATTGTTAAAATTCTGCAAGCAGTGTAACTTAGTGACATCAAATAAACTGTTTTTATTGTAAATCAAGAACATCTTGTGTGCTGGTTCTCCTGCTCTTGCTGGCCACTTAACTATCTCAACTACTTCTGAAAACCTAGAGCCGGACAACAGAGAAGAGAAACATTAAAATGCAGCAACAACCTATAATTTATATCCTATCTCAAATTTCCTGAGGAACTCAGGCTAAGAACAGTCTAGTTTTTATCTCTGGAAGAGTGAGAGCAAACTGCTGACCCACAGGCTGGAAGCTCTCCATTTCTAGTGAGCAAGGCAAGTCATGAATGGACACGCTGTTTCCTCCTTGTAATAGGAGGGAAATAGACTACAAAATTCATGTAATAAAATAAAAAATATTGGGAAATAGAGAAATAAATCCCTGGAAAATTATATGGAAATGAGTATTATGAGAAATGAGAATGTTTTCTTTGCCCCAATTCCCTATTTTTTTTTTTCAGGTGAAAAAACTGTGAGTTACTGAAAAACTCTGCGTGTTTATTAAAAATATTAAGCAGTAACATGCCTGGCTGCAATGGAGAATTAGTGATACCCTTTTGCACTTTGGTAGGAATGTAAACAACTTCACAACAGATGTTCTTTATAAGGAAAATGCTTGCTATTTGCATTGTGATATCTCTGTTTGAGTCTTATATCCAAGATTTTGTTTAATTCCATCTGGAAAGGCTTCACTGGGATCCTTTTAGCTTACTAAAGCAAAGATTATTCTTTTATGGGTTTAAATCTAAGTTTTCAAATTTTTTGGTAAGAGAACACACCACCTGCTTTCTTTGCTGATTGGTTACTGAGCCACACTGTATCCAAGGTATCCACATTGTTCCTCTGCAGTGGTTTAGAGTCTTAAATACATTTCAGTTTTACTGGGTCAGAGTCTATCCTAAAAGTTTTATACTCTGCTATTCTGTACTATTTGGATAAGCAACAAACAAGGCTCTTGTTTTGAAACATGTATCAGAGATATTGTTCATCTTGGCATAAGGGTAGTAACTTACCTAATGAAGAAAAAAGATTCAGATCTGGAGTGTATGTCACAGTACAAAACACAGCCTTGGATTTGCATTTTCATGGTGACTTTTCTTTACTATTTATATGGGAAATTGTAGTTTGCTTTACATCAATACTGGTTACCCCTAAGCTGGCACCCAATGGAAGTTATAACAGAAACAATGAATAAATACTTTTTATGTTATAATTGTTTGTATCTTCCATTTATGAGAGAGATTTTTTTTTTCATTTGATATTAGCAGAAATGTAAATAAGTTATCCATTATGGTGTAGCATTCTATAAGAAGATGGGTAATAGTATTAAATCCTCTGAAAAAAGGGCTGTTAAAGAAACACTTTGAGGACTGGGACCTTCATGCAAGAAAGTAATCTTAGATTGAAATGCATTAACCAGTCTGTTGAAAATACTTTGTTTTAATTGATTAATTATGGTATGTTTTCAGTATTCCAGCTTAGCTCTTTTTGTCATATAAATTTTACCTTAATCTTAGAAAAATATTAATAAATACCAAAGGAGAATGTAATAATTTTATAGTTAGTTAACCAAAGGATTTTTTTTTCTGTTTCAGTCAGTTCTCTGAAGTTCACATATAATCCTGCTAAATTATCAGCTGTCATTATTTCTTTTAATATATTTCAGATTTTTTTAAAAAAATTGTTATTAAAGCTCTATTTCTACTTGATGCTGCACTTGTAGGAAAAAGAGTATGTGCAGATGACTGAAATCAAATGGCTTTATTGTCTTTATTCATAACAGGAATGCTATTTAGTGTAAGTTAGATAACTTTTATCCTTCCACTGTATGCATTAAAGCCAAATGAGTTTCTTGAACAATGAGAATAATTCTCATGTGAAACCAAGAGTTGTCCATTACACTTTTAGGCTTCTCTGCTAATAGTTTTCAGAAGATTAATTTTGTGGTTCCATCTGTGTTCCTTCTGTTTAAGACATGACAACTTCCTTAGACATTCAGAAGCATTGGATACACGCCCATGGGCTGAACTAGGCAGCAGCAGAAATGATTCCACATTCCTTGCATGCCCAGACCAAGAAAGTTTGAGGAAGGGCTATCTCAGTTTGACTAAAACACAGACTCAGAGTCTGAAAACTTTCTGCATTGAAACTGCATGGTCTCATAAAGCCTCTTACAAAAATAGGGCCAGATGGTATTTTTTAGTGACAAACTGTTTTCTAAGTAAGTTTCAATTCTAATCATATATTCTAAAAAAAAAAAAAGCTATTGTCCCTACACCCTCAAAATATCCTGAACAATTTTCAGAATACTTCTTTCCTTGAAGATATTGAGGAGAAGATATGTTCTACCTGCAGGTTTTACAAGCTGCTTTACAAAATCCAATCTTATAAATGTATCTCTATAAAACTGGGCCCTCTTCATTCAGCACAGCCCTTTGCAGGCAGAAGTACATATTTAATAAATACTTAACAATGATAAATAACACAACATAAACTTTACTGCCTATTGATCCTGGTGTTATGCTTTAATTTCATCTTTTTTAAAGGTGGCATAAAAATAGAGAACCTAGAGTTAAGTTCCTATCC